GTTTCATAAATAACATTTTTAGAAGACAACAAACAACCACCTATGACTTCTACATGTACAAGATTAATTTTCTTGATTAAAGCTATTTTTATTTTTTAACAATTTTTTTCTATAAAAATAAATTAACTCTCCTTAATATAACAAGATAGATGCTATACAATATTTTAGTTCTAAAAAAAATTATTTCAAATCAAGATGAGAGATTTGAGAAGAAAATAGAAGCTTTATCAAATATTATACAATATTTTAGTTGCTTAGTAAATAATTTAAAATATACTATATTAATTTATATAGGTTCTAATTTTAGTGAATAAGTTTTTAAAAAGATAGGAATTTTTGTCATAACTTGACTTATTTCTCTTCAATCAAATCTTTGTTTTTAATCTCTTTCAAAAAGCAAATTGTTGCATGCAATGGCTAGAGTAATAAATTGTTTGAATGGATGTGCTTTTAATATTTTCAGCAATGAATTTTTGATATTATCTTTTAATTTATATTAAAATTGATTGTTAAGAGTTTCATTATTCTAATAAATGTTGTAAGTAAGATTTTGGAATTTACTAGCATATATAATAATTCATTATGATCTTTGTTGTAAATATAAGAATTTTGTTTATATTACCATTTTTTAATTGCTTTCTCTAAATGTATTTGTAAATACTTTTAAGAATGAATTTAGATCATATAAGAATCATGAATCTTTTTTATTAAAAATAAAAAAAATGATACTTCTATATAAATTCACTCATAAATCTAACTTAAGTAAATCTATTAGGATATTAAAAAGAATATAATATTAGATAAAGCTTGATTTATTGTAAAAATCTTTAAATTTTTTATCTTATTCTAATAAACTTCTCTATTATACTAAATCTTGTTTTCCTTATACTTGTAGTAGTAAGAATTTTTTGAATCATTAATGAGGTTGTTCTATTTATTTCTTTCAATTGCATAATTTTTTGGTATAAATATTAAACTCTATTGTTGACTTCTTATGTAGGTATATGAATAGTACCTCTATGGTTGACATTGGTAATACTTAAAAAATTTAGTCTAAGAATGTTGAAAATCTTGTAAAGATTTATAATAGTTTCAAATCTATTTTTATTTTTTTCATGTATAGCATCCATAATTTTTTCTATCATTTCTATAAAAAAAATTAATAAATCCATAAGTCAAATTAAAAATAATAAATTTCAATCTCTAATATCAAATAAAAATTTCCACAAATATGGATAGTACATTCTTTTTTAGAAAAGAATCAATGTTAAAAAATAAAAAATATTAATTTAAAAGTAGATAGTTTACAATACTTAAAGTACAACAGAAGAAGTGATGTAATCTATTCACTTCTAAATCAAAATAAGAATATTGAATTAATACTCTTTTAAAAATTTTAAGAACATGAATTATAAATAATATAAATTTCAATAAACTCTTGTTCTACTAAAAAAATAGATCTTTATTTAAAAATAGTATAATATTAAAAATAAAATAGCTATTATTAAAAAAATAAGACTAAAAATTCTTAAAATAAGACTAAGAATAAAAAAAGGCATTGACAAAAATAAGAAATGTTTCACTCTGACATCCATATATGCTATCTATTTAGGAGATATATTGCAATGTTATATAGAATCTTTGATACATATCAAATTTACAAGACACTTGTCTAATTTGCAATCAATTTTTCTACATGTGTGCTATATAGCCAACTTGTACCACAAGTCACCTACATGTGCAATGCATTGTCAACTTGTTGGTCAAGTTTTCAACCTATTCATCACCCATAAATACGTATAAAGTCAAATCAATATCTATGAAGCATTTAAGAAGCTTCTTCATAAGATATCATCAAATCTACTTACTTCTATTTAACTCTTTTAATCTAGGTAAATATATTTATTTTTGACAAAAAATCTTGCAAAGCATTTAAATTTAGATTGAATTTTTTTAACAAAAATAACTTTATTTTCAAGCTAATGGTTTCTACAAACTTCAATTCTAATAATTAGATGTTAATTTATATAGAAGTGAGGTGGTCTTTTCTATATATCACATACTTGGTGGCATTCCTAAAATTTAAGGAGAATCGATTCTAGTTTTGGAAGATGACATAAAATTCAATTGATATCAATATGAATGTTGATCTTTCCCTTCTATATATTAACTGCCATGCCTTTATGCCATATAGGTCATATAAACATAATTTCTTTATATAAATTAGGATTAGATCAAATCTCATCCAATTAAAAGAAAAAATTTAATTTAATAATGAATTGCATACGTGTACCATTAAATTAGTAGAGGAGACATTTCTTTGAAGTAACTTTGTATCAAGTTTTATAGAATATGTCATGAATTCTTTACCAATGATCCATGAATAAAATAAAAGATCAAAGTTTAATTCACTTATTAGATAGTAGAATAAATCAATGTTAAATAATTATTTTTTACTTATTTTGTAAAAAGTGGTTATTTTGATAAATATCTTTTAACTTTTTTTAAAAAATATAGTCAATTTGAATATGTTATTTGATTGCATCTAATTCAAGAAACTTTTTAAATATTTTATAAAAAAATATTTTTTTCATTGTAGAACTTTAAAATATATTAGTATTAAAAAAATAAAATATCCATATAATTTTACATAATGATATTAAAAATATTTTTATTATTAAATAAATTTAAATTTAAATCAATATCCTTTATAATCTTACTAGAATATGAATTCTTTAGAAAATCAAGTGTGAATTTGATTTCCTTTGGAAAAACTTTGAATCTCTTTCACCACATCTATAACTTTTAATGATATTTAAAGCATGTTTTTTCTTATAAATTTTTACAAACTTTATTTTATATATAATTCTTTATAATATACTTGAGATAATTTCTAATATAAAAAATTCATAGAAAAACGTTGATTTTATAATATTATCTTTCTTTTCTTTTAAATCTAGAATATATTCAAATTTCTATAATAAAAAATATTTGCTAGAAAGCACATTTGCCAAATCAAGATAAATATCTTCTTTAGCTGAAGAAATATGTATATATATATATATATATATATATATATATCGATATAATTTAACAATCTTGTTTGCTCTTCTCAAATCCTTATTCAACAAATATGCTAATGATAGACTAATATAAAAATAACAATAAGGGAGAATACATCAAAAATTATTTGCATAAAAAGCCCTTAGAAAGCAACAATTAATCATTAATTGCAACATGTAACACCTTGCTTGATGAATGAAGAATGAATATAGAAAAATTATATAAGACAATAGATATTACAAATATATAAGTTATACATTTAAACCTCAAACATATAGTCCCTCCCTTTCATCTACCAACCCATCATCTTAGCACCATTTGATTCACAAAGGAAACCCTAATCATCCAAGCCCTTAAAAACAAAGGAAGTAAGTAATGGAGCAAGTAAAATTGATAAAAAAAAATTCCCCTCCACAGCACAATTCTGCTCCGTTGCTACTCCCACATCCCACATACATGGACAAGATTTGACAGAGCTCAAAAATGAGGTCTAGCGGTGTGAGCACCTTGTAATCCGTGGCCTCCAATGCGCTACCATGAGCTACACCCAGCGATCTCAACACCAAATTCTCGACACCATCACGGACTTTCAGGTGGCAATCAAATGGCAAGAACCTTTGACAACAACACTCCTATGAACTGCAGCAAAGGTGATGCATGACCCTCCTTCACCTTCACTTAAACCCTCTCTTAACCTTGCACACAGATTTTGTGCGTCAAAAAAAAAAAACAAAACAAAACAAAACAAAAAACAAAACATGTGGCCAGGCTTGCAGATCATATTATACAACATGTATATTTTTAGTACGAATTAACAACTTGAGAGCCATTTAATATATATATTTTTAATTTCTTTTGTGATTGTTCTCAAAATGTAAAATACGAAATTGCTCTCAATCGTCTATGATAATAAACTATTCTATTAAATCATTATATTTCAAAAACAAAATTTCACTATTGAGTTATTGATAAACCAAAAAATAAAATTTAAAATAGATTAGAAGAGGACTTGCAAGCCAAAAAACAGCTTCAAGTTTGCCGGGGGAATCATAACATGAACAAATAAGAACAACCAACATAAATATATATGATCAATATCTTGAAAAAAATAATATTATCCTATATTATAGGCAAGTTAGTCACGTTAGGACATCACAGAAGATAAATTGGTGGGTGAAAACGTTCCGGAAAAGTAAATGATTAATTCTAAGGAAATCTGTTCATTACATTATATATTTTTTCTTGCAACCGCGCGTTAAACTTCAGAGAAATCCACTAAACGAAATATTTCCTATAAATCGCCCATCATTGAGTAACCATGTCTATTCTGTCAACAAAATTAACCATTTAGGATAAGGTATCAGAAGATCCAGAGGCTGAGGACTGTCCACAGCAGCTCAGAGCTCTCGGCCTCACAATTCAGATAAAAGTATTCCGTGTCCAGATCCCAAGTGTTCATAACCTGTAATGGTGGAGCTTGCCAGAGCCGAATCCGACTCACTCACCACAAAACAGCCACCATCAAGATTCCCCAAATCAGAAGCACACAAATTGACAAAAATGATAAAAGCAATAAAAAAAAGAAAAAATAGAACAGAGAAATGCGAAAGCCAAGAAATCAAATCGGAACACAAACTACTATCTTTAGCTGCAAGTCCAAATCGTTCTCACTGTAATCAATGTAATCCAAAAGCATCCATATTCCATCACGAGAGAGAGTTCAGTCGACGGAAAAGCGACTGGCCGCAACCTCGGAGGGCCTCAAGCAGGGATGGGATCGCGGCCAATTGCGTCAGCACGGCTGAGGGGCTCACTATGGTCCGCCCCTGCTTTCGACTGACCAGTGGCCTGGAAAACAAGATCGGAGTTGTGGTGAGGATCGCATGCAGGTGTTTCGATGGGACGAGCCGGTGACCTGGAACGTTCCAGACCGTGGCGGGGGCCACACCTCCACTCGCTCGGAGCATAAATACTCCCAGCCCCTCATCGCCCGGCATCCAGAATCATTCCAGCGAGTTGTCATACGGCTTACCAGTGCTTGCAGGCAACCCTTTGGGCATCGCTTGGTCACTTGTGTCTACCACCTCCAGCTCGTTAACGATGGCGACCAGCGTCACAGCCTTGCAATCGGCGTCCGTGGCCCAGGTACACACCGCTAGCTCAGTAGCTTTATCGAGCTAGTCAAGTAATGCGGATCGCGGTGCTGGATACGGAATTGTGAGGCTTGGCGAGGGTGGGTGGGCGGAGCTCGACTGCTGTGAGGGGTGGCGACATTGAGGGTGTGCGGTCGTGGGGCTAAGAGCAGTGCAAATTTAGGTCGGCAGGGTGTGCAGTGTGAGTAGCTCATGGAACGGAGGCGTAGATGTGCGGGTGGTCATGGGACTGGCGTGTGGACGGGCAGAACGGATTAGCTGATTATTGCGGGCGTAGGTTTAGGGGGTGGCGCATCTTAGAGTGGATGTGCAGTCATGAGCTCCACGTCTGACCTGTGTGAGCAGCAGACTGTGAGGGCGCAGCCGCCGTTCCCAGTGGGCTGCGGCTGGTTCGGAGAGGCTTTTGTGACGGAATGTGGCACCGGTTGCGTTGCGATTGTGTGAGGGAGTTGACGTGGTGGGTGTCTTTGCGGTTGGTGTCAGGTGAACTCCGGCGTTGCCCCCTCGACGGTGGGGAAGAGCGCCGTGCCGAGTTCAGCATTCCTGGGGTGCAAGAGTAAGGTGCCCGCCAGCGCGGCCTTGGGATTGGCCAAGGGCAAGAGCCGCGTGGTGGCGGAAGCCGAGTCCAGCAAGAAGGTCGACAGGTGGGCCGGGTTGGGCACTGATATCTCCGATGATCAGCAAGACATTCAGCGCGGGAAGGGCCTGGTGGACGCTCTCTTCCAGGGCCCCCAGGGCATGGGCACCCAGAACGCCGTCTTGAGCTCGTGGGACTACATTAGCCAGGGCCAGAGGACGTGAGTGCTCTTCTGCCATGAATTGTTTGAATTTGGTCGCGTCCATCGTCTGAGAGTCGGTAGGCCTGGCCATGGTGAATTGTGGTATGAGCCCGCAAGCCCTTCTGGGGCCAGCCGGGTTGCACGGTTGTTGAGAATAGCAGAATTGGAGCGAAGGAGCGTAGGGGTGTGGTAGTAATTCTCGTCTCGGAACTTGGGGATGTGGTAGAATCCGTGGCAGCGAGGAGATGGTGGAGTGGGGCCACGGTGGGGATGGGAGGGGATGATGTTGTGCGCTCAGGCACTGAGGGTTTGAGTTGAAATGGGGTGGCATGGTCTGCAGGTACTCCATGGATAACATCAAGGATGGTTTGTACATCGCACCCGCATTCATGGACAAGTTGGTGATTCACATCGCCAAGAACTTCATGGACTTGCCAGGCATCAAGGTTCCTCTGATCCTTGGTATCTGGGGAGGCAAGGGACAAGGGAAGTCGTTTCAGTGCGAGCTGGTCATGTCAAAGCTCGGAATCAAGTAAGTGACAATGTGTTGAGCGTGATTTCACTGTAGCGCTTCGGAGGTGGCGAGCCTCAGTTGAATAGTGGATGGCTAGTGGGCGCGTCAGGGGGATCGTGCAGAGACCCACGCGCTCGTGGAGGGTATCCGAGTACTGAACAATGGGAGGTGAGGAAGTCGTTACTGATCGATGTGCGATTGTTGCGTGTGCAGCCCCATCGTGATGAGTGCCGGAGAGTTGGAGTCTGGAAACGCCGGAGAGCCGGCCAAGCTCATTAGGCAGAGGTACAGGGAGGCTGCTGACATCATCAAGAAGGGCAAGATGTGCGCCCTGTTCATCAACGATCTCGACGCCGGCGCGGGGCGCATGGGAGGCACTACCCAGTACACCGTGAACAACCAGATGGTGAACGCCACACTCATGAACATCGCCGATAATCCCACCAATGTGCAGTTGCCTGGTGTCTACAACAAGGAGACCATACCCCGTGTGCCAATCATTGTGACGGGTAACGACTTCTCCACGCTGTACGCTCCCCTGATCCGTGATGGACGTATGGAGAAGTTCTACTGGGCGCCCACCCGTGAGGACCGTATCGGAGTGTGCAAGGGTATCTTCAGGCTGGACAACGTGCACGACGACGACGTGGTGAAGCTGGTGGACAAGTTCCCCGGGCAGTCTATCGGTGCGTTACGTAGCACAAGTCGTGACAGTGATTTGTGACTTGGATTGTGGGCGACTTCCCCTCGTCGTTTCTGTCCCTGCGATTTGTGGTCAGTCGGTGGCTGCGCAGAGAGGTAGATGTGGTGCAGAGCATGCAACCGAGTTGGCTCGGCTGTTGAGATGTGGGAGTGGAATGTGTCTGACTGGGTGGGGGAATCGGTGGTGCAGATTTCTTCGGCGCCCTGAGGGCCCGCGTGTACGATGATGAGGTGAGGAAGTGGATCGGGAAGGTGGGAATCGAGAACATCGGCAGGAACCTGGTGAACTCCAAAGATGGGCCCCCAACTTTCCAGAAGCCAGCGATGACCATCGAGAAGCTGATGGAGTATGGAGACATGCTGGTCCAGGAGCAGCAGAACGTAAAACGTGTGCAACTCGCCGAAGAGTACCTGTCGTCCGACGCCCTGGGAGACGCAAACGCCGACGCCATTAAGCAGGGGACCTTCTACGGTGAGTGAACAGGGTGGTCGGAGACGATGCTTGGAATACTTTGTGTGACTCGATCGTGCTCGGCACCAGTGCGCGAGTCCTTGCAGTGTGATTCCTTAAGTGAGGTTTGCGAGCTTGAAGCAGTGACAGCTGACCAGAAATTACGGTACCTTGTACAGGAGGGAACGCAGCGCAGCACATGGATCTCAAGGTTCCGGAAGGATGCACCGACCCGAACGCAGAGAATTTCGACCCCACTGCTCGCAGTGACGATGGCACATGCGTGTATGACTTCAAGAACCTGTAGAGGTTTCTAGTTCCATGAGGGGCGTGGGTCTGGGTTAGCGATGGTGTTTGTGGAGTGCGTTAATGATGATCGTGGCGCATGAATCGTCCAACGTAGCGAGGTGTAGTAGTTCGTCAGGCCAAGCCAAACAATTTGCCGAATTTCTGACGGTGGTCAGCGCCGAGTTGATGCACCCTTGTGGTGCGTTTGTATGATACACTTTGATTAACGAGTATGAATCTGGGAATTAGAACTTGTGTTCGGTCTTCTAGCGCACTGCGTGGTTAATGTGATGGTGGAGTGAATACGCATGTAGATTGGACGTCATTATTCTCAATTCTACGTAATGACGTGGGCGAGTGTAGAAGAGTGTGGGGAAGAATGCAGAGAAGCGATGGTGTGTGAAAGGATTTAGAAAACATTTTAGAATTAGTGAAGCAATACATAATAAATGACATTCTCAAATCATAAATAAATTACCATAAATTAAACGTTCAAAATATAGGCAAAAACTGAAAATATGCAAGTTTATATTTCTAGTTTCCAAATTACATTGTATTTTTATAACAAATTTAAAATTATTGGTTATATTAATTTTAAATTATATTCAACATTAAAATTAATAAATTAATTTACATTTTTATTAATTATAAATATATGATTTTAGTAAACAATAAGCTGTTAATTTAGATGTAGAAAAAACTACGTTTATGAAAAATATAACAGAGTATAAAAAAAAAAGATAAATATTCCTAAACACGTATTTTAAAATAATTGACATATATTGTGGATAATTTTCTTCCAATAAAACCTTATTGAAAATACAATGTATCTAAATTATCGTATATAAAAAGATAAATAAATTTTAAGAGAAAATTTTAAGTTATTAATCGATCATGTAACTAAAATTTTTCTTTGATAATATCAAGCTTGTTATGTTTAAAAAGATAGTTAGTATTAATAAGTGTAATGGATGATAGCTAACACATAAATAGTTTGCATTTATAACACAAAAAATTCATAAAAAATAAAAAATTAAGGATCTTTATTATTTGTAATTTAATAATAACTTTCTTAATATTGATAGTTATCATGTTTGTAAATTTAAACTAAAGAATTTCTGTATTGTGAAAAATAAATAAATAAAATTTAAAGTAAATTTTTATGTGAAAATATAAATATATATATATATATATATATATATATATATATATATAATTTTTAGTATATAAAAATTCAAAAAATCTCTACCATAAGACTTTTACTAATTTTTTATGATATTATCAATGTAAAGAATATAAGTATTTGTATGTTGAAGAGATAGTTATTGTTTAAGACTAAATTAATAAATAATTATGAATTTAATGATTAAAAAATATTTATTAAAAAACCTTAAAACAAATTTAAATAAAAAGATAAAAATTATAAAATATAAATGATTATATTAATGAACAAGGTATACATAAAAGTAAACAAATTCTAAGTTTTTAAAATATTTAAATGTGATAATTTTCTAAAAAATATCTATTTATCAAAACTAATTATTTAATTATTAAAATATAATAAAAATCTCAATTTTCTAATTTGTGGTTTTTAAGAGTTTTTTTTATTTATTTAAGAAATAAATATTTTATTTTTTTTATATTCACATCCTCAATCAAAGTCGTTAATTACTAATAAGAAATTAAAATATACAATCTTATGAGTATGTAATAAATAATTATTTTTTGTTAAATTTTATTTATTAACAAATATAAGTATTAATACATGAGTAGATAAAGCAAGGCTATGTAGTTACAAAGGCTAAGTAGTCACTAAGGTGGAAGCAGGCACTCCAAATTACAAAGCTTTAATAAGGTTGATTTCTATTAAGGAGATTCTACACTCATGCAGAAAGCTAACAAGTTATTCAACATCATCTCCTAATGTAAGTATGATGGAGCTAATCTCAATAATTATAATAATGATTTTAGAAAAAAATAGATCCTTTATCTACATCCTATCAAAGGTAGAATTAAGCTCACACCTCTTAGATATTATTCTACTACCTTAACCACCACTACAACTCCACAAGCCTTAATCTACCACATTATATTCTACACTTAGAAAGAAGAAGTTATATAAATGTAGTCTAACATCTTTCTCTTTGGATCCTTGTTACTATTAATCTAAGCACTTTTTTATTACAAAAAAATAAGAAACTTAATTAAAAATTAATAAAAAAAACATGTCTACTAGATTTCATTCTAATCCACGAGTCTATCTATTAGTTACATTCTAAAAACTAATATGTTAATTAATGCCATTGAATGTGGAGTTTAAATACTCCTTCATATAAAAAAATAAATTCCACTCTATTCAAAAGATTTTACTTACTACTAAAACATATATCAAAAAATTAATACTTTATAATAATTATTTGATTTTTAACTACTATATTAATTTATAATAAAATAATATTATCTCAATTAAACAATAACTTCTTATAATTGATAATTTTTTCTATAAGTGATTATCTAATGAAGGAAGAGCACTATATATATATATATATATATATATATATATAATATTTAAAATAAATAAATTATATTAAAAAATAAAATATGATTGTCATATTGATATGTTTTGAATCATCTCAAACACTTTATATATGATAGATATATAGATACAATATTTTAATATATAAAAAAATATTCTTCATTTAATATTAAAATTTTAAAAGAAAACCAAGTTATGAATTTTATCTCAAAAAAATTATAATATTATCCAAATTTTTATTGAATATTTTTAATAACAACCATATTACTTTAGTTTTTGGAAAGTTTTAAATTGAGCTAACTCGAAAATATCTTGTATTAATTGGTAAAATTGATTATGTCTTTAAAAAAGAAAATTTACCTATTAATACCGATATAATGACAAAGAAATAGATTTTTAAAATTGTATAATTCTAAAACATCATATTCTATATAAAAATTTGTGGTTGTACATAAATAAAAATTAAATATTATAAGTTTTACTAATAATAAAAATATCTAAAATTTATTCTATAAAATATTGTAATATATATTATTTGATTTCATTCAAAAAAGTTATTAATAATAGTACAAGGAAGTAATTGTTTTAACCATTATTCTTTGTGTTGGTATATAATAAATTTGGTTTCAATGAATTTTTGTGTGTGTATATATATATATATATATATATTTGTATTGGTGTAAAAGAATCTGAAAAATAATTTTTACTTTTAAAATAAAAAATAAAATATTTACTAAATCTTTAAAAATTTTACAAGAAGTTAGAGTTTTCTATAATTTTATAGAATCTAAAAATTATAATTCTTTTTCAAATTTTAAGAATAATATAATTTCTTTTATATTAATTAAAAATTGTATAAAAACACAACATGAAATTTTATTTTATTTTATTTTATTTTATTTTTATATAATTTTTTATAAATATAAAATAAATTCTCACATAATTTAATTCCGTATGTATTTTTTAATTTCAATGTATTCTTTTTTTTCTTTTTTCTTTTTATTTTTTTCCTCCTTCAATTTCATCAAATAAAATCTATACATATCTTAAGTCTATTTATGTACAATTTAATTAGATTTGTTTTAAAATTAAGTCTCTTTGCATCAAATCTCTTTTGTTTGTCTTCTTTGACAATGATGAGACCTTAAATATATATATATATATATATATATATATACATAGATTTTACAAACCCAATTCACTTTAGCAACCTCTAAATTCTTAGAAAACTTATGAATCTTCACAATAATCAATTTTTTAGTCAATAACATTATAAAATTATTAAGAGATAACAGTGCTACATTTATTTGTGTATTTCAAAACTCTTATTTTCTGAAATAAGATTTAAAACACACATACACTTATGAGCAATTGAATTTCAAATGTAACTTGCTTTGGCAAAATATCTTTGGACTTGTGTATTTAGGATAAATGTCTTTCTTGAATTCTCATCAATATTTGGGCAGAGAATTCTACCCTTGCTTGTTGCCCCCACTTGCTAAGTTTGGAGACAACCAGCAAATACAATACATTACTGTAAGTACTTAATTTGAAATTTTGTGGCTGTTATTAAACAGTAGATAGGATGGTTTAGGTTGTAAGACCAAGATCTCTATGTACAAAGTATAAAGCTCAAATCCAAGTATAGACACGGGCAAAATCTGGAAAAAAATAAATGGTTTATATTGCTTGTTTCAAATCCAAATATATCCACCTGTATGCATCACATTCGGGACTCCACCCTCATCTCCCTTTTAGGATTAAGAACGCAAGATAAGCAAACACCCTAAAAGTTCTCACAAGTATCAAAACTCTTAATTTAATGAACATCTCTTCACCTTCCTTCCTTAACAATTGAAGGGTAATTTCGGCGTATCAATTAAGTAGACATGCATGCCTTTGTGGAAGGAAACTGTTGCATTGCAAAAGCACCAAATCTTCTCCAACCATTGCGAGATTCTGAGAAAGAAGACCACTCATTCATGCAATATCTCCGAGCATAGCGTGAGGGAGACGGAAAAGCAAACATTGCTCACAGTTGATGAGACATCCACCACCAGAACAGTCACATACAAAGCTAATGTCGGCTCCTCTAGACTTATAGAGACTTTCAGTCAATTTTTGTCGGCGATGCAAGAGCTTCTCATGTGCAACGGTGAAGCGTGGAGTCAACTTATCAAAGGGATTCTTTTAGAGCATTTGGAATCAGCTTTTGTTAGACTTGTGGTATCGCGTGTTGCTTCACCCCCAACGTAAAGTCCATGACTTTATGTTCGGAAGCTGTTGCCGACACTTGCTGTTTGTACAGCGACAGCAAGTGTACAGACAGCAAGCTACTCAATCTGCAGTAATCGGGTCAATCTACTCGTTTTCTTTGCCCTTTTAGACCCTAAGACTACTTTTGTGCGGTGTAGTTGCGATCGTTTCCAGGTATTGCTTCACGGTGTTTCATGCATTGCCTAGTGGGTAGTGATCTAACGAGCAGTATTTCATCAGAACTTGAAATGAATTATGTAATGGATGGGGCCGTTCTGGAAGGAGTCGGTCAAGTGATCAGGAACTGCTCCGCCTATGCTGCTATCCTTGGCACGTTCGTTTACCTTAAGAATATCAGAGTGAGAAGACATAGACCTGGGTTGAGGCTGCAGTATGTGGAAGGGTTGGAGGTCGTTGCTAGATTCTCAAATTGTGCTCTGCAGGTGGGTTCACAATTTGAGAATCTAGCAACGAAGTGGGTTCACAAGAGGTGTGGCTCATTCCAGGACAATCACTACCACGCGAATCGCATAAATGTTTCCCGCAACTGATTCATACCAAGGCCGCTGCTACCTCTCTACTGCTTCAAGTAGCATTGCCTGTACTGTTTACTTCAAGCGCTAGGGATTTGCTTTTCACGGGTGAAGCGAGCGTGGTTATCTCGCCTTCCGTCGATTACATGAAGTTTTTCAAGGTGTCGGTAGATATTAACATTTTGCTGCGCGATTTCATTCCAAGAAGTGACTCTCTCTGTTGGGATCAGGATAAACCCTTCAGAGATGTTGCGAAACATTTGCTTGATAGACAGGGCCCTGTAGTGGGAGTTTCCTTGATACTCTACGGCTACAGTAAAGCTGATCATTTATTCATCGACGAAGTGCGAAACTCTTTATTGGAATCATTGAAATCACAAGGGTTAGACATGGACGTAGGCTTCATGGACGATATGCAAGGGATGGAAGATGAAGCTGCATTGGTATGTCAACTCTTGATTTATGCAGAGACGTCCACGGGATGCATTCTTGGAGCCAGTTCGAGGTCAGGAGATCATCACGAACTTGCTAAAACCGGAGAGTTTACGTTCGCTGCAGTGTCCGATTTGGGGAAGCAGTTGGAAGATGGAGATTGCACTGATGAGTATCTGCAGGACCAGCTCATCATCTTCATGGCCTTGGCGGATGGTGTTTCCGAAATTGTGACTGGACCCGTTACTGACCACACTAAGCATGCACTTCATTACGCCCAGATCATGATAGACGCTAAATTTGAAGTGACGCCTCAAGATGGTGGCAAAAATTTGATAGGATATGTAGGGATTGGTCACTAGACAAGGAATCACAAAAGTAGTCCCTTGGAAATATCTTCGAGGTCAGGCCTAAAAATTGGAGGAGCAGAGCAAACTTCTGAGGACAGTGGTAGTCCAACGAGCGTTTTCGGATTCGCTGTATCTGAACTCAAAGCATCATAGTTGCAAAAGAGTACCATTCCCAGCACTGATTCAGTCACAGATTGCTCCTGATATGGAGAAAACGAAGGCAAATTCGGCAACAATTGGAGAAACGCAGGTCACAGATTTGTAAACTCCGCTTTCTGCACTACGAACATTCCATCTTCGAACAGGTCTTGTCCTTATAAGATAGTTTAGTTCTGATTGCAGAAAGTAATTCTACAAGAGAATATCTTGCGACAGTGAAAGTTTTGCCTCCTCCGCCTCTAAGCCTAAGGAGAATTCTATGTACACAACGTTCGGCTTCAGACGAGTGGCTATCACTCTCAGTGGCCAAACTACGTCAAAATTCGAAGTTGGAGGCATTTCGAAGTATCCCAAAATCACAATCTTGTGCAATGCTCCTGTCAATTCAGCAGATCCTACCATGTTTGACTTCGAAAAGATTAAATTGCAAACAATCTGCTTCGTCAAAGAAAACTTTTTGTGGATGGTGTCGGTGACAGTCTGGGTCAAACCCAAGGAAACAAAGCAAGACACCACTGCATGCAGACAAGGGCCATTACAAAACCAGTCTTCTAAATAAGCAAAAAAATGGGGTCATGTTTCCGAGTATTGCTCTGAAATGATGTTGTGGCATTCGCAAATTCTGTTGCAGATATCTTTCTTCACTCTTGGTTGAAGCCTGCTCCAAAGTCTTCCTAAACACTCTATTTTGGGAAGAGGGTGCTACCACCCATTTCCTGGCTGCCCAAATTGTTATGCCCTATTTACATTCAAAGAAACATGTGGGTCCTAATACGGACAGCTTATTCTATTATGGATGTGCACTGTGGGAATCATTCACTCATCTTCAAGGAATAAGTCTATGAATCCATGGAAAAGCATGAATTGTATTTTTTGAGACGATCTTTGGAGGAACAAACAGACAAGACAACTAATCTAGACAAGAGCATGGCTGGATGCTGCCTTTAGAAATTAGGAATTATATCAAGAACGTCCACACATTAATAAAAAAAATAAAAACAAATAAATCATAGAACAATTGATAAAATGTTCTACAAATTAGATAGAAAAAAAATTCTTTGGCATTTGTGTATCAAGTAAAGTAGTCTAATTTCACATACACTATCTAAGACCTAATTTTGTTAGTTGAAAAGGTAGTAACGTTAAAGAGACATTCTTTAACTTACCTTCAAGAAAGAATATTAGAACTTTGGATGTCTCGTTCATGTTGTTTTGTTTTCATTCAACAAGTAGACCATTGTCATGATGTAATATGGCTAATAAATGAAAGAGAGGCAAAAAAATTATATTATAAAAGATCTTATTTTAAAAAATTGTAGCAAATTATCATAAAAATATAGTTAATAGTCAAAAAGATAGTAAAACTAAAAAATATTAATATTGCATTTATGCAAAATGGGCTTCTATTTACTTTGTAGGGCCATAAATAAAGCAAAACAAAGTAGATTAGAAAATTAAATGATATAGGCATGTGTAAGACAAAGTTAAGAGTAGATTTTAACAAAATTTACTTCAAGAAGCTAAGAATTGATATCTAGAGAGGACTGGTTGTCAACTTGGATTGAAATGAGACCCTAAGGCACAAAATTATGCACCTATGGTGTCTCTAGGGTTATTTTGTTAAGAATTGGTTCTATGTCATTTGAATTAATATTGAGATTTTGAAGGATTTTCAAAGTTAGTAATATTCTTGGTAGGATTAGGATTTGAGAAATAAAAATATGTTTACAAATTTGATGGTTTCTTAAAATCTTTGATTTGAATACAAGTAAAATTTGGACAATGTCTTAGTATGATAGTTATAAATATGTATGCAAATTTTGAAATCAATCGAATGGTTTGATTGAAGTATATGAGGATTTTTATGGATTGAGATCTCAGAAATTAGAGTTTTAGGGTCAAAGGGTGTTTCTAAGATCTTCAACAATTTTTCAATTGGATTGAAGTGAATTTTTTTTACATAGATACTAGACTTGATTTTTAACATTTGAATGAAATTTGAGATTAATTCAACAGTTCAAGAAGGAGATATTGGCACTAGAAGTTCAACATTGAGGTTGGAGTAGGAAGCCACCTAATACTTAATTGGATTGGCTTGCATTTCTCTCAATTGGTAAGTGTGATCAATTTCATTTTTTTTTTTTTCTTTGTGCTTGTTTCTAACTAAGATATTAAGAAGTGTGCAAATTTTGAGTTGATATCAATAGTTTGATTATTAATTATTGAGGTTCTATTTTGCTATAGGATTTATTAAGAGTTTATTTAAGATCTAGGGTTTAATTAGGATTTGATTTAGGATTTGTCTATGGTTTGGTTAGGACTTAGTATTTGATCTAAGATTTTATTAGGATTAGAGTTTTGATAGGGTTTTAATTAGGATTTGATCTAGAATTTGATTAAGATTAAATTAAGGTTTCAATTAGGATTATATTAGGATTCTATTTTTAGTATTTTTAAAGGATTCTTTGTTGTTTCTTTAAATTTTTTATTTCTAGTATTTCTTTAAGATTATTGTTATTTCTTTAAAAGTTTATTTTATATTTTTTTAAGATTTCTTGTTATTTTTCTTTGAAATTAAATCATGACTTCTTTGTGTTTCTTTTGTAACTTCTTTTCAATTTATTTTAATAGGTTAAAGTTTGATTGGATTTATTAGAGATTATTTAAAGTTTATTTAAGGCTCTATCAAACTTGGTAGAATTTTTGTTGCATTTTTACTTACCTTCCACAGTTAGATGCTCAATACATTCTCAAGCAAGAATACACGTAATACAACACCATATTTGTATTAAAGTAATTATACAAATTTTTGATACTTCTTGCAAAGTATTAAGGTTGGTTTGAGGCCAATGAAGTCTTAAAGAAACAGTCTGTGAAGATTTCACACTAACAAGAAAAGCCAATCTTAAAACTCCAACAAGAAGATTAGACATAGGTTTTAAAAAATGTTAGATGTAAAATATAAATAAATAAATATCAAGCTCAAAAATTGCAGATTATAAGTACTCATATTAAAATTATTTTGGTTTTTTTTCTTTTTTTCATAAAAAAATAAATAGTTTAAAGAGCTGATTTTTTGTTGTCAGGGTTGTGAGTTGTGAGAGATTATTTAAACTATTTTATTTGAGCCAATTATTGTTATAATAGTTTATTGTTATAATCCGTTTTTTATTTTTTATCTTTATTCTTTAAGGTTAACTTTTTATAATTATTATGATATTGGTAACAAAGGTATTTTTTTAAGTATTGATATTATATATAATATTTTTTTATTTAATACAATGCATAAAATTTTCGACATTAGTATTATGAATGTTATACTTTAGTATAAATTTTATTAACTTATAGAATTAATGGTAGTAATTTTATAATAATTTGTATATAAAAATAATAATGTATGTTTTATTCTTTGATATTTTATTCTATACATGTAATAATACTTCAACTTTATTTATTAAATTCAAGATAATAGTCATATCAAAAGTTAAATTCTAAAAATAAATAAATATAATATTAGAATGGTCCTATATATATATATATATATATATATATATATTACTTATATAGTATGATATTTATTTTATTATTAATTGTAATAATTGTTATAAAGTTCTATTTAAAAAATCTAAAACCATACAAATAACTCAGCATTAAGTGTTTATGTTTCTTTTTTAATAGTTATTATCTTACAATGTCAAAATATAAACAAAAAATCATGTGCGTTCTTTTTGCATAAAATTATAAATTTTAGATTTTAAAAGAAAAGTTAATTGTCAATTATATCTTATATCTTTTCTAGTGTTTATCATAATTTCTGGAAATGCAACTATCAATCTTTATTCTTTTTTAAGTTCAAATATTTTAAAAAATGAAAATAAAAATAATAGTATGTTCAAATGGATTTAAGAATGAAATAAAATATGAATTATTAAAAGAGGTTGAAGGTTTCTATGATTTTTTAATAAAAAATTAAATTTGCAATGTATTCACATAATTTTAACTATAAATACAGTATTATATTTTGAAAAGATCTTAAAGTTAAATTTTATAACTATAGCTTTGTGTGTGTGTATATATATATATATATATATATGTATACGTATAAATAAATATTAAGGATGAAATATATAATTTAAGTGGAAACATTTATTTTATATATATAAATTTTAAAATGATAATAAAAATATACTATATATATATATATATATATATATATATATTTAGGATTATCTATCTCAATCTTTTATTAAAGCTAATTTTAAAAATAGGTAATTTAAGAGAAATACATACGTTTAGAATAAATTTTATAAATATATTATAGAATTTAATATTTTCTTATAAACAGAAATAAAGAATTACACACCATCTCTAAAAAATGATTACTTTGCAACTTAGATTTCTTTAGATACATCAAATAAAAAATTCTCAATCTAAATAAACAAAAAAATAATATAATACTAATAACTGTGAATTAAGTTATGAAATAATTGCTAAAATATATTAAATATTAGATGTTAAAAGATATCTAATGCAATTATAAGTTTAAATTATGTAAAGTCAAGGAATAAAAATACTACAAAAATTATTTAGCAATTATTTCAAAATTATTAAAACTAGAAAAGAGTTTGATTTTTCAAGTTTATTTATAAACAACTAATAAAATTAATTGTATAACAAAATACAGAGTTTAGAAGTGAAGCCATTTAAATTATTATGTACCAATTTTAATGTGTATCAAGTTAAAATTCTATATATGGATTACATTTTTGGTTAATGTTTATTTCTAATAAAGGTTATATATGTATAATTCTAGCATCTTTACTATTAAAAGCATCTTTGTATACAACTTATTAAAAATGTTGTAAAACACTTGAACCATTTGGATTTTTTAGATCAATTGTTGGTCACACAACTAATTATATTAGAAAGGAGTGATCTGCTTGCTACTTGAAGTCTTTTTTTATATTATTCCAAAAGTTAATCCAAGTATTAATATGAAAATCTACTCAAAAGATTACACTTTGGCATAGCTTGTCAAACATGCCAAATTTCACTACTCTAACAATAATAATAATATATTATTATAAAAAAAAAATTAAATTTTAAAAAAAAAAATGCAACAGATGTATTATTGTAAACTCATGATTGCACAAAAAATTGTATCCAAGCAATGTAACAATACAAGATAAAAACCCTTAGTATGACTTCATGGAGATGCTTTAAGTTGAATGCATACTTTTCGCACAAATGTATTTGTTGGACGTGTCACCTTTATTAGGTTCTGAGTGCTTGACCGAGAATGAATTAGTTAATAGCTCCGATCATTTCCTTTCAATTTTCAGAAACATTCAGGTCGGAGCAGAAATTGCTAAAATCGTTTTCTTGGGTGTAATCGTCTAGTCATGCAACTGCTTCCGAGCACTGTAGAGGATTCAGCAATTACTCGACATGTCTTGCAGCCAATCAAAGACTTTTCTTTGCCCAATCAGAGTTTTGAAAGAGTTTCACCCAAGGTTTGGATATGAACCTCGCAGTACTCGATGAAGGCGCGGTGAGAAACTTCTCACTCCACCATGATCCCCAATATGTTAAGCATTCCAACTGAATCATCCACCTCCACTTAGCTAAGACGCTTGTTCAGTTCCATGATCTGTGTCTACTTCAGGTTGCCCCAGTCTTCGATCTCAGGGGTGCAGAGGTTGTTGCTAGAGCCGGACATGGCGCTGTAATATGGACACTTATCATCCCCCACCTCGTCATTAATCAGACCTCCTACAACGACGCTTGCAATAGCTGGCCCCGCCAACACTCTCTGGCATCCTGGATCAGAGTAAGCTCCATCCCCGTATTTCTCATCCTTTGAGCTTTCACTGCAGCCTCCAGGAGCAGCAGGATTGCCAGACTGTTTCATCGAGGGGCCAGCTTCCACCATGGAGAGGCCGGTAAGATGCCGAGCAATCTCAGCTGAGCGTGGAATTTCTGTAAAGGGCAGCAGAGCTTCAGGAGGGATAAGTACCTTATGGGCTTTCCTGCTGCGCAACTTCTTGTGTGAGCAGACCTTGGGAATCTGGAAAATATCATCTCCCTTCTTCGACAAAATCTCTTGATGATTCTTGCCTTGTGATTTGTGTGTGACAATGTGTTCAATAGATGGTGTTCCTGTGCCATCGTCGTCATTCTGGTCTAAATTTGCAGGGACGTCACCGTCCTCAGGGTGTGTCAAAAACTCCTTAGAAAGCTCTTCAGTTGAAGGCTTTTCGTGTCGAGTGAGACTAGACGCGTGCATTCGAACTGGGGAGTCAGCAGCGACAACCTGAGAGACAACCTCCGAGTTGATCTCAACGGTGCATTCAGAATGATGATGTCCCTCAAACTGTGGCAAAATCCCGTTGTTCCATGACTTTTCAACTCTGGAGCCATTGCACTCCTGCATCTTCATCTGGACGTGTTTGATGCTAGGTATTTGAGGTGCTTTGCGCACAGATAGTGTTGGCGAGGCGTTGGAGGTGCCCGTCCCTGCTGCTACAGCTTGAGCGAATGCTATCTGCTCGTTTGTAACATGTCCAGCTGTTCGGCTGCCCCGCCTCCGCCTGCGCTGGAAAAATGCTGCTGCAAATGCTCTTCGAATCACCGCCACCTGCAATTACACGATATTCTTACCACTTGACAACGTTTCCACATACGACCGGTTAACAGGCACGTGAAAATCAAGTTGACCCTGCAGTTCTTAGCTCAACCCATCACAAGACTTTCAAGATGGTAATTGTTGTGACCTGGGCAGCTGACTCGTCACGCTCAACTTGCAAAGCTGCCAGCGACCTCCGCAAGTCCTGGCATTGCTGTTGGTATCTGCATGTCACAGGCCAGCATCTATCTGAGATGATGCAAGACCTAGTTGGATTTCTATAGATTCAACCTCATTCCAGAATGAACCGAGATTAGATTAGGCGGACAACGAAATTGACAAAGATTTTGATGAAAAAGAGTGGAGTAGCTGCATACGTGAGGGGCCGAACGTAGAAGCACAAAGTGATCGTGTCCTCATCTGGCAGGATATAGCCTTCCTTCTCCAGAAGATCGATCCTAAAAAACTGATAGTAGCCCCAACACGCTCCCGCCTGATACACACAGCAGGGCATTGTCAGGTGCGGCTCCATATTGTTGACTGAGTTGACGAGTGATTTACGAAGGATTAAGATGTGCTTTCAGAAAGGATAACCAGAGTGTGGGACTGACCTCAAAGTCAGAGGAGAATTTTCGAACGATGCGCTGGTTGGGACGAGTGCGGTGAAGGAGCTCTATGCCATACTCGTACGTGGCTGGTTCATTTCCTCCATCTACCATCTGGTGCACGAGTGAACCAAGTCAAGTTCACTGCCGAACGATCAGACTCCAACAGGTGAAACCTCACGGGATAACTACAGATGTTCCTCATAACACAATCCCAACCCTTCATCGTTTGTATAATGATGTAAACTCGAAGTAATTTACAAAGTTCCGTCCATAAAAGTTCTCATTAACGAAACACAATAGAGTCGTCAAAAACATTGCATATAATAGTATCCAAACCTTTACCTCTAGGAAAACAGAGAGATGAGTGCCCTGAGAAGCTCCACTGCCATTAGGATAAACCTGCGACAAAAGTACTGACTTTAGTCGCCGAATTCTACAAGATGCCTTTGATAAAAAGCTCCTGAATGGAGAAAATTTTGAAATGCTTTACACATTAAATTACGTAATCTGAAAATAAAATATTTACCAAGTGATCGTTCTTATTTATGATATTTGTTATTATGTTAGTATGTTATTTAATTTATCTAATAATATAAATTGCAAATTAACCAAACACACACACACACACACACACACACACACACATTACCTTTAACCTCCATATAACACCTGAACCACAGATAGGCTGCAAACGCGTTCACAAACAAACACAAAACTTTTTAGGCAGGATAGAGTATCTATTGGCTAAGCCATAGCTGTTCAGAAGGCGTAAACTCTCTAAATTTGAAGCCTTCTGTGAAAGCTATACCCTCAAGTGGCAGTAACAACATTGCGGACGTTACAATAAACATGAAATAAGAAATTCAACTCACAGGATCATGCAAAACCTTGGCAGGAGAAGTAGAGAAGAATGATCATACCTCGCTGTACACAACGTCCCTGCTCGACAGTGCTTCAGCGGAATTAAGAGTGCAACCAGTGGTGAAAACAGTAGGTCTGGTTTGAGTGAGATCTTCCTTGTAGTTATTCAAAATGAGCTCTCCATACTCGTACGAAGGAATAACCTGCAGAACCTAATTGTTAGATTCTCTCAAATCAATGTAAATTGCAGACTCTTGTAATGCCCCACAAAAAACAAAATTTAACAAAAGAATATACAAGTAGTATGAAGTTAATGAATGATGTATTTAGGGATACCTCTGAAATAAATTCAGGCGGAATTGGTGTGCGCGAAATATCTGAAAAATTGCGAGTTCGAATGTCCTGAAAAGCCAGAGCCCCACAAAAGTTCAACTAATGAATATCTTAGTCTGTAATGAATATCACATTGAATCATACGAGTTAATTAATCGTTACTCAACGATGATTTTTGCTGCAAATCGTGTAGTGATCTAAACGAAGGAAAATGGTGATGGATGGTAAAAGGCCAACCTGTAGCATGCGGCTCATGTTAGGTTCTTGCGCTATGAGATCACTCTTCGGAATGCTGTTCAGCTGCTGATCTAACTCGTGCAATACTGTGTCCAAAAGCTCCATCTGCGTCACAAACATACAGACCAGCTCTATCATTGCTCATTAGCTAAGGAAAGAGCGAAAATATTCCGCAGCTAATTCACTGAATGCACATATTGTTGAACGAGGCCTACAATTACACAAAATCTCAAAATTATGATATTCTAAGACTTCTGAACTCTTGGCTACGTACGAGTAATTCATTGAAATAAAAGAATTTGGAATCGTAGAGTGTGTGCTTACTTCTTGAGTCATGGAGCCTTTTTGTGCGAGTAATGCCAGTAACTTGCATTTGAGCTGCTCTTCAAGCCGAGACTGCATCTTATCCAACAACCATCAGTATTTTCTGACATCACTTAAAGCACACCCTGGAAGAAACACCCACAAATTATGCAGTTGTGTGGAACAAGAGAAGGTAGGAGACACCACCTGCATCCTTTTAAATGCCATTTGAAGCTCTGCTGCGGACTCATCCTTCGACTGCCATTGTAAGGAAGAACATTCACGGTTCAGGACTAAGTAATCACCACTGTTTGATATGAATGAAAGACGTTTTATGATGCAACATTAATAGAAATCTACGAAGGTTGATTAGTTTGTGCACCTTGAGCACAGTCTCGATGTTTTTCTCCACTGATGCTACCAGAGCGCAGAGCTCCTTTCGGCGCCTGCGTAAACCAGCAGCTTCCATGCGAATCTTCTTCTTGTGACGCCCATAGGCCACACTCAGCTTCTCAAACGTGTGATTTCGATGATCCTGTATAGAAAGATGAATGAGTGATCTAATTGTTTACCATGAAGCCGGCAATAACTAAGAAGAACCCTTAAATTAGCCCATGTTAGTCCCGGGGCAAAGCACAGATCTCAAATGTTAAGCTTAAGACGTGAAATGTACCTCAATCAGGACTGCACAATCTGAGCACACAGCCACTGAACAAGTCGTGCAAAAGTAGAGAAGGGGACTGTCATGAGTCGGACAGTACTGCTGTTGTTCACCAATCCCACACACTCAAGTACGTTCAATAAAATACCACCAAAACCAATACATGCTAGTACACAAATAAATTACGAATAACATGCACATGAAAAAGAAAGACTGCGCTTCTATTTCCTAAATATTTGAAAACTTTATATATATATATATATATATATATATAAACTGAAACATGTAACATGATTAAATCTCAAGCACATGGAGTTGGGCAATAATACAGCAAGAGATCGGACTCACCTTTACCATTGGACTGTCACCTAGCTTTCCTTGAATCTTCTCAACTTCCTGCAGTACATCATAGAAATATTGCTCTCAAGTCTCCGCAAGAGTAAAAATCGGAGTTAAGCAAGAAAAGAGATTAGTTGACTATCGCATATTCACGGTGCACGATATGCTGTTTAGCCAACGATAGGATCAGGTGGAATGATTTTTACCAAAGAAATCTCGGAGATGAATCGACAGCTCACAAGTTGTGTGACAAGGAGAGGTGCACGGCAGTGTGGGCACTCCGATTTCTGATCTGTGAGCCATCTCTGCAAATAGAATGCTCCTTGATATTAGCTTTACCTAATATTATTTTATAAACTATGGCAACAACAATTTTCATTCTGGAGACTATAGAATCACCTGTAGAAGGTGGAGAATGGCACCACTGACCTTAATACACGGCTGGCACACCAGCTTGGAACAACACGGACATAGCTGGGCATCGACAACCTAAAAGGACAAGAGGAAAGAAGAAAACAATTGGTGAGCAGACAGATCTATAATGAAGAGTCAGGAATTCTGTTTAAAATTCATTGAAATTAGTCAAACTCTGAATTTTCGTACTAGAAACATCGTGTTCAGAAAATTGCTTAAAATAAATCTTGTTCTGCATTGAATTCACAATAGAATGACGAAAGGCAAGCATTGAAACTCTAAACCAATTCAGCGAAATTCGAATGAAGCACTTGCCAGACATTTAGAGGTGCGAGAGATGGATCCACACCTTTCCAAGACAGATGAAGCATCGAAATATTTCTGCCAACGTCGACGATGAGTCATTTACGTTGTCAGCAAAGGCAGGTGTGGAACCATGACATGCCACAAAATCTATTGCTCTCTGGTTTCCCACTTCCTCGACCTCATTATCAGAGGCCTGTAAGGAAACTGCTTCAATGACTTCAGTTGAAAGCCCTGTTGCTTGTATGTAGTCAACGGTATCTTCAGGCTCAGTCGCCTGGGCAAATACAGCTAGCTGCTCATTCTGGGGTAGAATCATGTGCTGTGACACAGCAGTAGAGAAAGGGTCATGCACAGGTGTAGATTCAACTAACAGAAGCCTCTGCGCATCTGTCTGCAACCCAAAATGACAAGTCAAGTTGCACTCAGCTATTAGAAGGAATAGTGACAGCCCTTGCACAACTAATTTATTAGGTCAGTCTCTGATCAAGATTTTGGAAAGACCGCACTCAAGTGGAACACGAATCAGTTCTCCAGAAATTGAATCAACCCCCCCTTCAAGTCGGAACTGTCACACTATGGAAGCTTCGCAGGTTAAGCTCTCACTTAGGTCTAGCTCTCTCTCTCTCTCTCTCTCTCTCTCTCCAAAGATATATATAAATATATTGCTCTCTCTCGCCATCGCCATCGCCATGTTTAGGGCTGGCGTAAAAACTAGATTAAAACTGCATAACTTGGGGGAGAGAGAATAATAATTGCAATCTGAAATGGAAAGCTCAATCGGCTTGCGATACTGCAAGCCGAAGTCAAAGTGTACAGCCGTTCTGGTTCTGAAATTCGAAAGACTTTCGCTGCAAGAGCCATGAACGACTTCAGCTAACTCAAGTTTACATTGAGCTCGCTCACTCAGCGGGGAGTTTCGAAAGGTCTGCCCACCCCTGATGATGCAAATTAAATTGCATCGCACAAGAAAAAGAGAGAAGTTTTGCAGTCACGAAAAGGTCTTCGTTAAATGAAATAGACTCATAAATCTATTTGGCAATGGTGTTGTACCTGCACAGGTTCACTGATGTTGTTGCCTCGAGAATAGTGATGGCTGCTGCTATTTCGAGCGCCATGGGGTCGATGTCGGAGCCTTCCACGGCTACCAAACAAGAACGACCCGCAATCTGTGCAGTCGTAGTCCAGAGTGTGGCTCGGCGACACGGTGATGACAGGACCAGGAACGAGGCGGGTGCAAGTGTTAATACTGCTGCTGGAGCTAGAGCTTCTGCTCCCGCTACTTCCTCTTTGAATAGCAGCTGCAGCCATTGCCACAATGCCAACCTTACGAGGACAAGGTGCGACAGATGGGCACCTCTAAACGAATACGGACATCCTGATTACCGACTGCTCAACGAAATCTTGCACGCTTCCATGTTTAAACAAAGAGTCACCAAAACGCATTCTTCTGAGTTTACGGGAATGAGGGAATGAAGACAGGTATGAAGACTAGCTACTTCCTCAGCTGTTGTGGCGGATTGGCGGTAATCCGAACCAGGCTACAGCTGTGAAGACAACGTGAATGGCAACGCAATCAATCAAGAACACCCTATGTGACCTCTACTCACTCTTTCAGAATGCTACTTCAGCCCGTGGACTTCCTTTCTAACTTGCTACAACTGGGGTCCCCGAAGGCGAGGCTCGCGTAGGGAAAAAGTCCAGGCATTGTCGCATTGTGAATGATACTCTCCCTATAACCCTTACGCTCACAAGTTGCTGGCAATATCCAAAGACCATTCGCAACTACCAATTCAGTGGTGTCAATCAACCAACTCAAGATTCACTCTGTTAACTTCAACACTTGGCGTCAACCCGAAAGGACCCACTCAGCAGGCACCTAGGAACGTGCACAAATTCAGTAGTTAGCTACTCTAACAATCAATAGAATACGCACATGACTCAAGTCCCGTGACCGAAATGTAGTATGTAGCAGGACGAAGGTACACTACTGTTGCGAGCAGCTGACCACGCAGCTTGTTCACTTTTCTACAAAACAGAGCGCACCCGAAGCTGACTCCATCGTAGTGGCATCAATCAGCACTGCTGCCAGGACAGAACCAAAACCGCCCCATTGCTTGATCATCGTTCCAGGTTCCGATGCCGACGAAAATAAATACTGGTCGCCAAGGATTAGTACCGCCGGTGGTTTGCCATGTCGCCCATTGGGCAGCAACCACTCCGCAGCGTAGAATTTCAGCGCAAGGACAATATTGTCTGATTTCGAAGTAATAACCAACCAACTCTCCGGCGAATCCATCAACCTCCTGCTTTACCGCGACAACTCATTAATACAGAAACTTGCGTCGAGGAACCGACACCTCACCAATCACCAACTCTCTCCCAAAAGTCGATCACATTATTTTACTCAAATTGTGGGATTTACTGCCGCAAACAGCTCTCAAGGATACATCTTAATCGCGTTTAATCAGCAATCACAAACCGGATACGGACAACTACATAATCCAAATATGTCGAATCCTCAAGCCTGGTCCAAGTTTCCAGCAACGACCGAACCTTTCAGAGAAATTCTGGGAGCAACGTCCGTGAAGAACCGACCGTGTCCTACCCCTCGACAGAAATGGAAACATTCAAATTTGAATAGCTCGGTAAAAAAAGAAAAGTTCAAAACTATCGGCAGTAAACTCAGCGGTAACAGTTGACATGCAAACTGTAAGTTGCAATAGCGGGGGACGGGGCGGGGATCTTAGACTGCTCCGCTCGCAATTCTCCGGCACATCGTCAAGCAGAATCCAAATCCAAACAACGAGATGTTAATCCCTCGATTAATGCTAATCATGTGTCTCATAACCCCATCCGGCGAGGGAAAATGTCAGAAGCCCCTTTGAATGCTCCAGCTCTCGTTGACGGCACCCGGTCATAAACGACTGATTCTAAGCAGCTCTGACTTCTGAGGAAAAAGCAGTAACGCTCTCTCTCTCCACGCTCTGCACTTCATTCATCCCAAGACATGATCCTGTCGTCGCCACACAGGTCATCCCGTTCATGACAAGTCTGTTTTGTCATTCTCCCCCCTCCTGGTGCATGCCATCATAACTCCGCATCGCGATTCGTCTCTTTTCATGAGGGTATCAAGTAATTTGTCAACCCACCAGGGGTTTGGTGATGATCATGCTCAGAGCCCACATGCGCTGCGACTTTACCGTATGTGAGAGAGAGAGAGAGAGAGAGAGCTTGATAGACCGAGAAAGCCACGAAAAAAAACAAACAAAAACAAAAGGGTACGCTCCAAAAGGTGGTCGCAAAGAAGGAATCTAATGCAAAACCGTCTTCTGTATTCACGTCTGCTTACTGGGTCCTCTCCGAAAATGTTTCCCAGAGCGCGCCTCTGAAATTGCAAAGGCAAAAAAACATAATCAACCAAATAAAACGAAGGAACAAGAAAATCAATTCACGTAGAGATGAAAAAAACTTATCAAGGTGAGAGAGGGGGGGAGGAGAATTTAATAAAAGGATTAAGTTGTTGTTATTGTTGAAGTTGTGTCCCAGTCAAAATGGTACTGGAGAGACTTGATGAGCGTCAGAAGCGCACAATTGGGTCCCTGGTGCTCACCTACAGGGCGATCGAGCGAGACAGACACACACACACACTCCAGGCTGCATAGCATTGCATTGTATTGCAATGCAATGCAGTAATGATATCATGCCTTTGCCCAAACCCTAATTCACTTTCTTATTGTTTCCACTTCAAGTTTCTATTGCCCCCACTTCAAGTTTCTATTGCCCCCAATTCAAGTTTAGGTGAACCCTAATCTGGGTTTTGGTTGACCCTCATTAAAGTTTCGGTTAATCCTGATATTAAGTTTTCGGTTGACCGTAATTCAAGTTTTAATTAGTTGGCCAGCTGAAGGTGAACCCATGATATGGCAACTTACTAGTGGGCACTGTAAGCATTGTACTGTATTCTCTACTGTTTTAGAAGATGAACACATGAATGGGTCCTCATGTGAATATTGTTGCATTATGATCATAAAATTATCATTTAATTAAACTCATCTAGACATGGAGTTTGGTAAAGGTTTTTAGTGTGTGTGTGTGAATATATATATATATATATATATATATATTTATTTATTTATTTATCATTGTGTAAAGTGTGTTTCATGGATTGCGAGTTTTCCAAAATTGAAGTGATAGGTTTTGGAATTAGCAAGCATTCAAGGAGTAGAACTGAATGGTTTGTTTATTATTCTCATTGCTAACTACAAAGAAAATATTTATAATTTTTTTTATAAAATCTTTCAAACAAATTGATCTAGTAATCACAGGTTTTGAGTATCCAGTGAATGTTCTGAGTATTTTGATCTTATGTAGTCAAAAAATTATTTTTTAATATTCAAAAGACTACAAATGTTTAAAATTGTAACTATGTTTCATGTGTACTTAGAAACTCAAATTAATACATTCTTCACCACACATAAACTTCTTTTCAAAATACATTTGTTATGTTTGATGTCATATAATGTATTATCCATTTTCAATAACCCACGTCCATTGGTTGCCAATGCTTGATAGTGTCGATTCATTACACCATAATATATCTAAATAAATCAAGCAGTGAAATAATATTTGAATTTTAACACATCATAGATAACACAGAGTATTTCACAACCAAAGTAACATCATCCTAAGTTTAAGCTTATTTCGATTGCTTAATTTGAAGAAATCTATAGAGTTCCAGAATTTTAAACAATTTTATTTCGAGTTCTTAATTTGAAGAAATTTCGATTATGTTAGTATAAAACAACAAGTACTTGAAGTAATAATATGCAAAAATAGTTATGCAATGTTCTCATCCCTTGAGAATTGTGGAGGAACAACAATCCCCGGTTTGGAAAAACAAATTGACTGAACAAAAAATCGAAGTCTTACAAAACTCTATCAAGTACACACATGTTGATATTATTTGCTATGTATTCAAAGAAGTATTGAGGTAGTTTTGAAACACAGACAAGTTTTTCATCCATGAAAATTTTAACCATAAGTTTTTTTTAATTGTGATGTATGTTTTGTAAGGAATAACCCTGTTCAAGCTAATATGATTTGCTTATGTATAGTTAAGTTCTTATTCATGATGCTTGTATCCACAATTAAAATTTATTAGATGGTCTGTTACATTTAAGATAATGCCATGTCCAATCCATTAGATTCTTTTAATAAAGGATAGTTCAAGCCACTCATACCGTCAGAAACAGCCATAATGATGATGATTATTATTATTCCTAAGTATTTAAAATTTTGAAACTAATACGTCTAAAAAGGTGTGTACGTGTGTGTGTATGTATATATAGAGAGAGAGAATGTATTTTAAGATTGATTAGATATATATGCAACCATCATGATTCTTTCACTATTGGTTCCAGTGAAAGAAAGTCTCCAGTAAAAAACATATTAACAAATTCATGTTTTTAAAAACAAGTCGACTATGGTATTAAAAACGTAATAGATAAACAAAAGATCGAATACCATGACAAGTAATAAGACGATCCCAACTAAAAAACAAAGAAAAAAGAAGAAGAAGAAGAAGAAGAAGAAGACAAATAAATAAACCGTCAAATAAAATTGAAATTGACGTAGTTTGTTAATTCTCTTTCTAGAACAAGATTTTATTTCTGAAGATATTTCAATAAATTGTTTCTTAGGAAAACTTCCTATAATAAAATTATTTATTCATTTATTTATTTATTGAATTTTTGTAAAAATAGGATTCTTTAATAAAGAATGTTGAATTAAAAACAACAAAAACAACAATAAATCATCTACCGAATAGCTTCAAGTAGAGCCTAACATCCACACAAAAACAAGTAAACGGAAAATGCAAATCATAATTCATAAATGTACAAAGGACCTAATTCATCACAACTCCAGTTTTTAAAACTCTTTATCATCATTTTATTTTCTCACGAACGTGCATCATATTTGGAAGACCCAATAACAGCAATAACGATAACGAGAATGCATCCCTTAACTATACAAGTGAATCGCTTGTTAACTCCTGTGAGTGGATGCGGGGTGGGGCGGAGTTTCCGATGCCATATTTTTTATTTTTTAGTTTTGTGTCTTAATAGTAGTAGTCCAAGGACTGCTCCCCAGCGGAAGCCATGCGCAAAAAGCAGCACAGCACCGAAGCCCAAGCTCTGGAGAAGCGTGGGAGTTGGGGGTGGGCATGCGATCTGTGGCAGCAGCTCCGCCTCCCCCCTCCGCTGCTGCCTGCATCGATTTGCGGGGCAAGAGCTGGCTGCGCATGGGCTGTGTGCAACTGTGCACACGCACCCCTAATCTAGTTTCGAAAAACTGGAAACCCTGAAAACAGTTGCCTAAAAAGGAGCTTCGATTTGAATCACCGGCGAGCTATCTCTCCCAAACCCTAATCTCTCACCACTGCAAGCAAACAAGTCTAGCTGCGAGAGCGATCCAATCACACAGAGCGATGTTCTCACATCTGCTGACGAAATGGGTACAGTTGTGGTGAGCAACGGGTTAGGATTCGTCTAAACCTTAAGCCCACAAGTGACTTCAGTCGTCGATGTATGTTGGGACACTGCGCACAAAGAGGTGGATGGTTCTGGTATGGGCTTGGAGCTCACTCCTGTGTTCTGAAACACTGCAAGTCTGTCGGCCATCTCCGTGAGGGAGAAGTTTAATCACACACGGGTTGGTGTCAGCATCGCAGAGATCCCTTTGCTGTTTCCTGCCGCGTACCCCCGCCAGAGCTCGCAGAGCAGAGTAGTAGTAATTTTTGCTTTATTTTTTGTTTTTGTTTTTGTTTTTTCGTTTTAAGTTTGTATCCCAAGGTTGGGTCCATCGAGCTGATCGCCGTCGGGAAGCTCATGTTCCGAGATCGGACGCATCCGGAGCAGAGCCAGATAGAAGTCAGTCGCCATATCCTAGACATTCTTCTTCTCTCACTGTTGCCACCCCCGTTGCCTGTTCACACTCACTCCACGCTTGCCCACGCTTTGACACGTATGTGTGTAGATTCACTCACGTATAATGTATGTATGTATGTATGTAGTCATATATATTATATATTGATCGTGCATGCTTTTGGTAAGCTTTACATTGCCAAAATGTAACCCACGTGATGAAATTATGTCACAAGAAAATTTACTCCAACTTCAATTGTTATTAAGTCTTAAATAGATAGAGAGGAATGTTAAATAAACCCATGCTTTTACTAAATCAACCCACCCTTAACCCACCCTTGATGAAGAATATGGTAGTCATGATGAATGTGGTTGGTTTTCATTTTTTTTGGATGCAATAGTGGAGAAATGAATCTAGAGGTTTTTTCTTTTCTTTTCTTTTCTTTTTCTTTTCAGGATGGTTAGGATGGGTGGGTCAATTTAGTAAAAGTTTGGGTCTATTTAACATTCCCCTATAAATATATACATATAAAGAGAAATAAAAAATATTGCAACAAATTTCTTAAATATGTATATAATGTGTAAATATATTTGTGTTATATATATATATATATATATATATATATGTGTGTAAATTGAGCCATTTAAGTCTTAATCAGCCCACCACATGATTTACAACAAAAATGCATTTGTTACCTCCACCAAAACAATGCCTCGTTGGTGGGAGGACGTCCAAACTTTTTTGCTTGAGTTAACCCACTAGTCACAGACTGAAAATCCCTTCATTGCAATGCTATTGGGACTGGGCAAGGGTAGCCTTGGGGTGATAGTGGCTGAGCCAACATCTTGTTCAATTTGTACCCTTGACTCACAAAGAATCTTTATGGTTTGAAATAACAAAATTCTAGTAGAGGTAATAACGAAAATAGAATATTATATATGTAATACACGGCATAGATTTTATTCCAAAAAATAATAATGAAATGACAATGTTGTTTTATGCCTAGTTAAATTAATTTTGTAATAACTTCATTTGATAATGCTTTCAACCTCCACAAAAAATAAAATTAGATCATTTGACATAATAAATGTTGATAATTTGTTGTATGTCACGAAACACATTAATATCATTTTTTAAAATTGTTGAATTATTCAATCTCAAAAGTACTATATTTCATTTTTAGAGTCTTCAACAACCTCAAACTATTAGATGGAGAACAAAAGCTCAATTAAAATGTATAAATGAATAAATAATAGAACAAATAGAATATATTGCCTCGACCACCATCACCACCACCTCGAAAAAGTAAACAGAAAAGACAGCGAAAAAGTTAAAACGACGGGAGACAAGTGAAGCTTTTCCGTTCTAAAGAAACAGCTTGGAAGGCTTAGCGGGGTGGCGGTTATACAGTGGACAGGTGGGGAATCACACCAGCCTTTAAGTCGCGGGCAGGAAGTTATATCTTCCCACGGGCTACCCACGTTTGTCCTGCGATGAAGAGAAGTAATAAAGCAACAAAAAAGGGTTCAAAATAGTGAGTAAATTCACTACAATAGAGATCCTACTTGAAAGGAAGTTTTTACAATGCTTGAGTACCGCCGTTCAGATGAGCTCACAACTCAGGACTTCATTTATTTGCCGGTGACTCGATTACCGGGGAGGGCCAGACGGCATATAGGATTCTGAACAAGTCTAAACTCACCCTAAGAAAGCAAACTCGGAAAAGGCAAAATGGATCTCGCACAGAATAAGCTTTCTCTATGCTTCACTTTTTATAACAGCTTTTCTTTTACTTTTTCGGTCATGGACATGAA